CTGTCAGGCCTTGCTCCTGAGAGGTGGGCACCATCCCAGGGAGCAGAGGGCCAGGGCTTTTCAGGCCGGGACACTCCAGCCTGATGCCCCGACGGGCTCTGGAGCCACACGGGAAGGTGCTGGACAGAGCGCTGTTCGTCCTGTGCGGCATCCCCACTTCCTTCAGAGCGGCCAGTTCACGAACAGTCCATCCTGGGGCCTGCCAGGAAGGCTGCAGCCCAGGTGGGCAGCTGCCCCCTGCCCTGGATGTGTCCAGACGGATGCCCCTGGGCCAGGCCAGCTCACCCAAGACACACCTTCCGTCCCTGCAGGCTCATGAGCTCACAGTCAAAGCAGTGTCTCCAGCCCAAGCAAGTGGTCACAGAGGCACGTGGGCCGGCCACAGTGCTGGCGGGAGAAGCACATAGCACGTCCACCCAGCCAGGGCCCGGGAAGCCGTGAGTGGACGACCGCCCAGCAGAGATGAGCCTAGGGCCCGGTGAAACCTCTCCTGCCTGGGTGAGGTCAGTGGGTGGACAGCGGCTGCCCAGGGCTCCAGGCAAGGTCCCAGCAGGACCTCTCTCCCTGAACTGCCCTTGGGGGCAGAGCCAGCATAACCAGCCGTGTGCACTGGGACCTGTTCTGGGTGAGCCCTGCCCAGCGCCCCACCTCAACCCTCGCTAAGCCTCTGCAGGCCAGGGGCCAGGACTGCACCCATGCCTGCTCAGAGCTCACACCCCAGGCGGCTGGGCTGCGAGCAGCAGACAGCAGCAGGGCCTGGGCAGACCCAGGGGCCCCTGGCGGGTTGAGCAGGGGCAGGGGTCTGCCAAAGTCCCCTAGTGGGCTCCTGTAGAGAGGAAGAGGGAGCTGACCCGACTTCCTCAGCCCACGGCTGCTCCCCAGCGGACAGTAAAGGGGCATCACATGGTCCCTGCCAAGGCTGGGCGCCGGCCTAGGTGCTCACCAATTTGGGGAGGTGAGGAAAGACAGCAGCTATGCGACCCACTGCCAGACAGAGGCGGCTACCCGCGCTTCTGGGGGACGCGCCCAGCCGAGGGGCAGGGGACAGCTCAGACTGACCCACGTGTCTGCTGTGCACGGACGCCGGACACAGGGCACTGGCCAGGGCGGCCCACCCCACCCGCCCGCGCCGCACCATGCCCTATTAAGGGCATGACCACCGGGCTCCGCCGAGCGCGCTGCCGGCGGCCGCGCAGGTTGAGTGAGGCTGGGGGGTGGCCGGGGGGCTGGGCTCCGATGGGGACGACCCCCGCAGACGAGGTGTCAGAGGCCGGACTGCCCGGCCGGAGGATTTGTCAGGGCCGGCCGGCAGGCAGCCCGCAGGTGGGCGGGGGCTGCAGCCGTACCTTTGTACTTCTCGCGCACCTCCTCGTAGGCCTGGATGAAGTCCTGCTCGTCGGGCGGCGGCGGGGCGGCCATGGCGGCGGCGGGCTCGGGACACGCAGGGCGCTGCCGCGCTGAGCGGGCTTCTGGTCCCCGGCTGCCACTCGGCCCTTGCGGCCGCGCGCGCCGCTTAAAGGGGCCGCCCCCGCCCCGCCCCGCACCCAGGATGCCCCACGGGCGGGCGGGGCCCCGGGGAGCGGCGTCCGAGGCTCCTAGTCTCCGCCCCGCGCTCCTCCCGGCGGGCGCACACCCCTTTCCCGCCCCCGACCCTATCGTCGGCCCAAAGACGTCTCGAAATCTGCACGCCCGGCCGGGCAGGGGCCGCCTTCCTCGCTGTCCGCCAGACCCAGCGAGCTCACCTGGCCGCCCCTGGCGCGCCCACCCGCTTCCACCCCCGCCGTCGCTACCGAGAGCTTTCCTTTGTAACCTTGGAGACCGAGTGTTTTCAGTATGAAATTCTTACGCTAAAAAGAAAAAAAAATTTAACTACGAATAAAACGGCTGAAATCGGGAATGTACAGAAGAAAATATGATTTTTTAAAAAGACAATGTCTTTGCTAACCATCAGATTGGCAAGCCCCGTCTTACAGGGCTGAGAAACGCCCTCCCCCGGAACGCCCCGGCAGCGCCCCTCCAGCTGGAAACGCTGCGCACCCCATGTACAGAAGCCCCGGCTTCCAGGGCTCGCGGGACGGCACGGAGGGGTGGGGTGGGGGCGCTGACAGCGCCGGGGTCCGGGCTGCGCTAGCACGTTCGGGATTCACCTTCCTTGGATGAAAGAGGGCCTCGTTCCTTCGCATCCAGATGTGACATGTGAAAAAGATCGCAGTCCCGCCGCGCCCACAAGGCCCCGGGAAGCGGCACCCTCCAGCTCCCCGCACCCCCACAAGCTGTCCCTGTGCTCCCACCCACAACGTCCCTCGCTGCCGCCTGCACCGTCCCGCCCAGCACTGGGCTTCCTGGCCTCTTCCCACCCACGTCGGCCCACCCTCCCGGCCTCCTGCAGGGGCGCCGCCCGCCGCGCCCCCTCCCCAACCCCCTCATCATCATTCTGTCCTGCTCACGGGGCTGACCTGGAGACCCCCAGCTGTCTCCTCCCTTCGCAGCACATCCCGCCCCTCGCCTCTGGCCTTGGGTCACCTACTTCCCAGAGGGCGCAGCCGCTGTCCGCTGCCAGCCCACACGGTCAGGGTCCTTGCCCCGGACCTTCCCCGTCCTCCTCCAGGATGGCAGCTACTGGAGGTCAGGCGGAACCTTGGCTCAGGGAGGGGCTGGGGCTCCACCAACCAGGTTGGACCCTCCTCTCCTGCCCCTACAGGTTTCTACTCCCTGGGAGGCGGCTCTGCCCCAGCAACCTAAGGAAGTGTCACCATCACTGGGGCCTGAGGGCTTGTCCTGAGAGCGGCGAGGCACCCTCCGCAAGCTCCACCTCCGGCCTGGTGCAGCTAACCAGGAGCGGCCAGCAGGTGGCGCTGTGCTGCGCGCAGTCACCCGGGACCGAGAGGCAAGCCGCCCTCGGGCCTCTCCTCCGAATCCCAAAGCCCGGCACAGAGCAGACAGCAGGGGCTCAGCCAACGGGCGAGAGCTGATGAACCGGACAGGCCGAGTTCCTGAGCGTTACCTGCAATGCGGATGACTGCTCTTTCGGCAGGGTCCAAGACACTCCCATTTCCTCCGGGGCCACCTCCACCTCGCCGGCTCCGCTGGGTTTTCTCCAGGTTCCAGGGCAGCGTGTCCCCAGGGCTGGGCGAGCCACTGCCCCCGTTGGAGCCATCCTCAACCACTGCCCGAACCTCCTGGTCCTCGCCCGACATGGCCTCCTGGAAAGAAAGCAGGAGGGGATCACACCTCTGTGTGTGGGACACACTGCCCCACACTGATCTACACATTCTCAGCCTAAACAGAGACCCCCCACCCACAGGCACCCTGTCACCTGGACACTGACACCCACGCCACTCCTACGTCCCCCCTCTTCAACACGCTGAAGCCTCCCAACCCGGACAGGACGCACGACCCTCTCCCACCATCCACGGTTGGCCTCACCCTTCCAGCTCATCCTTCAGACACCCACACAGTGACCCCCCACCCCAGACATTGACCTCACTCCCTGCAGCGCCCAGACATTGACACCCCCAACACTCACTGCCACTCCCTTGTCTTAGTCACCCAAACACTGGCCCCTCCACACCATCGCCCAGGGGCTCACCCCATCAGAGGCCACCGACCCCAACCTCCACCCCATCGCACGGACACTGGCTTCCGGCCCCTCCGTGCCCAACCTGGACCCTGTCTCCCCTAATCCTCCGATCAGCAAGCAAGGCAGGCCATGGGGAACCACTGGCTGCTGCCCCTCCCCTCAAAGGCCTTCAGGGAAGGGCCCAGACCTCAAGCCGGGGACACTAGCTCTACCTCCAAGCTGTCCAAGCCAACAGGGCTCCCCGTCGCCTTACCCCACCCCAGCGCAGCCCCACCTCGGTCTCCGCAGTGAAGCCCTATAAATAGCTGAAGCCGCATCGGCGTGGGCCGCGGAAGCTCTGCTGCAGCGAGGCTGGGAGGGAGCCTGGGCCGCCGCTCCAGCAGCCCACCCTGCGCGGCACGCACACGCCCGACGGGGGCCGCAGAAGCGCACCGGCACCGACGCGCGCACGCCCCTCAGCGCCCGGGCCCCCACGCGCGGGCGAGCAGGAGATGAACGGGGCTCCGTCCTGGCGGGGCTGGGCTGGCGCGGGGGCACAATGTGGGCTCTGTGCCTCTGCCCTCAGGTTGTAGGCTGGGAGGAGACGGTGGGCACCGAGTTGGGGGCCGCCCCGGCCCGCTCCGCCCCGCATAGCCCCTCCGCACCCTGCCTCCCGGCCAGCCCCCCGCCCGGCGCCCCGCCGCCAGCCGCACCCCGCCGGCAGCCTTTCCTGCCCACACCCCGGGCACCGCCCGTCCAGTTCCGCAGTCTCCGCGCGCGGTGGTGGCATCCTCCCGAGGGGAGGAAGGGCCTCGACGCAGCCTCTAGTTCCGGGCTGCCCCCACCCCAAGCCGCGGCTCCCGCCCGCCGCGTGCCTCCCTGTCCCGGCCCAGATCTTACGCGCGCTATGGCTCAGCTCTGCTGGGCTCGGCCGGTGCGGCCGGACTGCTGGTGCCGGGAGAGCTGCGCAGGCTGTGCGGGCGGGGCGAGCCCAGAGCCCCGCCCCGGCCCCTAACCGAGCTCCGCCCGTGCGGTCCTGGCGCCCGAGTGCGTGCGGGGCTGGGGGTCCCCGTGGCGGCGGGGCCGGAGCGCCAGCGCAGCTTCTCTCGAACAGCAACCCCCACCCCCCCCGGCCCCGCCTCCGCCGCCGGGCACGGCCCACTCCCCGCGCGCAGAGGGCGGCCCGTCGCCAAGGAGACGTCGTTAGGGGAGCGTGCGTGACACTAGGGCGACGCGGGGTCGCTCGGGGGCGCGCCGGGTCGGCCTCCGACCCCCAGTCCCCGTGGCTTTGCCTCGGCCCCGCCCCTAGCCACCCTCAAAACAGAGGTCTGACCCGGAGCTGCAGCAGAGCCCAAGCCAGGTTTCACAGGCACGTTTATTCAAACGACACAATCGCGCTCGGGCGAGGTCTGGTCCGGCCACCCTCCTCCCGGGCTCTGCTGACCCCTGGTGGTCGGCCCGGCCCAAGCCGGGGTGGGGAAACCCCCCCAAGGGGGCACACAGCACCACGACAGGAGGCGGGGCGGTAGGGCTGTGCGGGGCGCGGAGCCTAGGGAGCGGGAGGCAGGGCCAGGGGGGCCTCTAGGGTCAGGTGGCTGCGGAGAGGCTAAGGAGCGCAGGGGCGTCTTCGGGGAGAGACCGGGACTTGTGCTTGCAAGTGATGAGGTGGGTGGGCAGCGCCTGGGTGTCGTGGAAGATGACGAAGATGCTGGGCCGGTGGAGGCAGTCCACCGCGCTGTCATAGCGCAGGAGCGCGTGCCCGGGGGGCCGCGGAGGGGGTGCCCGCAGCCCGCGCTGGCCCTGCCCGTAGTCACCGGTCAGCACCCGTGCCACGAACACTGCCTTGTGGCCCTCGGCATCCGGCGGCGAGTAGCGGTCCAGCACCGACAGGGAGGCGCGCTTGGCGAAGTACACGCCCTGTCCGTAGAGCGCACCTGTGGGGGGTGGGGGGGTCAGGGTGGTTCCAGGGAGCAGAGCCCACGCCCCGGAGGGACCCAGGCCTCACCATTGCGGCCGCAGAAGCTGCGGTTGAAGCCCTGCGCGCAGATGTCGGGGACGGTGGGCACAGGTGTGCCGTGGTACAGGACCTGCTCGGCCTGCCGCTCACAGCACTGCTCCAGGCGCTCCCGGTGCAGCTCGTACTGCTGCTGCAGCAGCGGGTGTAGCATGCGCTCCACCTGAGGCGGGTGGGCGTGGGGAATCAGTCAGAGCCAGGCCACTTGTGCCTCTGGGTTACCCAGCAGGGCTGAGCCCTAAACAGCCCTCTTGGAGGAGTTCAGAGCCTGGGGAGACCTCAGAGCTCCTGCCATGCTCTACTCAGTAGCCCACATGAGGTTGACCTTCGCCACCTCCACAGGGCCCTAAGTGGCACTGGAGGGTTTCCAGGGGGCCTGCAGGTGGACAACCCATCCACTAACCAAAATCCAGAGCCCACAGCCAGGCCTCTACAGAGAGAAGCTGAGCCCCATGCCTGCACTGCGGGCAGAACTTCACCCCCAACGCCAGGAGATACCCCAGACTTCCCAGTGATGGGAGACCTGGTGACCGTCCTGGTAGTCAACCAGGAGGAGCCAACTCAGGGACTCAAAAAGTTTCTAAAGAAATTCTAATCACTTCAGACAGATGCAAATGAATATTGTATCCATGAAACAAGATTACCTACTGTGAAAAAAAAAAACAGTCTGAAAATTAGAGTGTTCTTACATTAAGGATGGAATTGCTGAACTGCATCCAGTGGGTAGGCTAAATAATAAGACGAAGATAAAGATCAGGAAGTGACTCAGAATGCAGAGCTAAAGAAAGAGTTGGGAACTGTGAAAGGACTGATGTGGGAGAGGGGCCAGGAGGTCTAAGATCTCAGTAGTAGGAACTCAACAAGAAGATGCCAGACAGGTGATGGGAGCAAATAAGGGCTTGATGGAAGGCAGTTTCTCTGAGCTGAAGGCGGCATCTTCAGATGGAAGAAACACCAGGGACAATGGGAAAGGCACACCTTTGGCCCCTACTTGCTGGGAAAACATCAGCCTTCAAAATGAAAGGGAACTCTACAAGAGCACACACACACACACACACACACACACACACCAAAGTCGATATACAAAGGTGGAAAAAATCTCACATTCTCATACTGTGCTTCTCACCACTAATACTGGAGGCTAAGAGGCCACAGAAGGGTTTTGCTGGGTTTTTTTTCTTACCTTTCCAAGAACAAAAAAATTCTAAGGAGGAAAGAAAAAGAAAAAGATCTTCCAAAGATCTGAAGGAAAACATATTTTCATCCTGATTGCTATACCCAGCCACACTATTTATGGTGCAAACAAAATAAGTACAGATTAAGGCACATAAGAATCAGCTGTGCTTAAGTTCATAGAAATGTTTTAATAAACACATAGCATGTTTTGTTTGAAAAAATATCAACATCAAGTTGTAGTTGCAAAAGGCAAAATAAATTTAAAAGTCTAAGATGTTTATTACTCACTCAAGGAGATACTTCTACTAAACAGAAAAGGAATCTATGCAAGAGGGAGACGGAGTCACCAGGAGAAACTCAGCAGCCAAGCACCACAAAGAAAAACGAACAGAGTAAATGAAGTTAACAGCCATTCGTCCTTGACTCCTAGAATATTCTCTTTCAGGCAACGTGGTTTTAATAACTAGGTTTTTCCTTCCCCTTTGCCCTCTCTGGTCCAGTGGTAAATATTTTTTCATTATCATAATATATTGATCAACCTAAGGCCCAAACATGAGTTTGAGCGAGCTCCAGGAGTTAGTGATAGACAGGGAAGCCTGGCATGCTGCAGTCCATGGGGTCAGAGTTGGAACAACTGAGTGACTGAACTGAACTGAACTGATGGCCCAAGTATGGAGCTTCATGACAGTCAGACGATGATGTTGGTTTGTCAACCTTGCCAACATAAAAATAATGTCACCGACCAAATGTGAGATGGAAGAGGGAAGAAATGATGGGGGAAAGGGAAGCCTGTCCTCCACATCTTCTCTGGAGGGAGGCAAGAGACAGTCTCTAAAATTAAGTGGAGAAAAGACTCAAGCGGACCACGTCAGTCACAGAGGTCCTGCTGGAAGAAGTTGCACAGGCAACTAGCCAAACCTCAAGAGGAGCCTGGGGCCCAAATGCAGGAGGTCTGTCCATCACAAAGGGCAAGAGTGATGGCTGCTAAGTCCAGAAATGGAAGCAGAGTACTCCCCCTGGAGTTACAGCAGCAGAACCAGGAGAGTGGTGGTGCTGCTGCTGGCTGATCAGTCCAGGGCTGGGGAAGGCCTGGGGTTCTGCATTTCTGACCAGATCCAGGCTGCTGATGCTGCTACCCCCACCCCCAGGCCCACCCACCCACAGCTCAGTGCCTCAAGAATCAAGGGGCCGCCTGGCTTCCCAGCTCTCGGCTGGCCCCAGATCCCTGCCCCTCGGCCGTGAGCGTGCAGCCCAGCTTGTGCTCAGTTATCCTGTCTCTGGACACTGCTCTCACACTCTCGCGCCAGCCGACCAGCCTGGCTCAGCCTCCTCCTCAGCCCTTCCTTCTGGCCCTACCGGCCCTCAGGACACCACTGCCTCCATTGTCCACCCCATTGCCTCGCGAGCCCCTCCATCTCAGCCTCCTTTTCCTTCCTTCTGGCCCCCCACCAGTAGTTCCCAGCCTTTTCTGCAACGAGACCAGGCTCAGAGCTGCCACTTTTTACAAGTGAATGCAGGAAGAGGCTGCAGCCAGCCCTCTTCTTGCTAGAGCCACACCCGTGGGAGGCAGAGGAGCCCCCAGAGGTGCAGTCTGCACAAGGAGCAATCCTCAGAGCAGCCACGAGATGGCGGCGGCACCCCACGCTCTAGGCAAGGAGGCTGCAGTAGGCACCTGTCACTGGCAGAGTGGGGACCCGGGCTGGGACCCCCAACTTCCACAGCTTTCTGTCTCCCTGTTCCACACTTGGGAACACCCTTCTGGCAGGAAAAGGAGCTAGGGAAGCCTGGGCTCCCCTGCCCATCATGGCCTTCAACCCGCTGGGCGGCTTCTGGCCATGGGCTCTGCAAAGCAAAATGTGCCAGGAGCCCGGAGGCCAGAGGTGGCAAGACAGAGTGGCCTTACCCGCACCACGTGGATCCTGCCACGGGCCGTGTCCAGCGTGTCACAGAAGGCCTGCACCACTGCCTGGAACTCACTGCTGCTCTCAGCAAGACGCTCCAGCCTGCCCAGGGGCTCCTTAGGCCTCTGCTGTGGCACTGAGGCAGGAAGGAAAAAGGCTGCGGGCCATGCTCAGGGCACCAGTCGCCCCTGCCCTCCCCGTCCCCTTCCAGGCTGCGGACTCACACGTGGAGCAGGAAGCGACCAAGGGAAAGGCCGAGCTCTGATCCCGGGGGCCAGCCAGCAGCACTGCCAGGTGGCGGGCCGCGTGGGTAGGCTGGACCCCAAAGCCACGGAGGACGATATGGCCACCGCGCCGGACAACACTCACGCCGTGGCACCACTCCAGGCGGGCGCACAGCTCCGCCGGCAGCATGCAGCTCGGGGCCCCCACTAGCTCCTCCCTGAGGTGCACCTCCAAGGCAGCCTCCAGGGCCCGGTCCAGCTCATCCATATCCCGCTCGAAAGCAGCGTGCACCTCCAGCTGGGCCCAGCCATCTGGGCCCTGGCCCCGGAGGAGCTCCTGTCCCCCACTCAGGGACGGCGGCTCCATCAGGGAGAGGGCCAGGGCCCGCTGCAGCGCAGCCTCCTCCTGCTCGGCTGCCTGGCCGCGCAGCTGCAGGGACCGGTAGAGCGCCAGCTGCAGCTCAGCCTCCTCCTGCAACCGCCCAGGCTCTCTGGTGCTGGGGGCTGAGGGCCCCTCCCCAGACCCAGGGGCCGTCGCCTCCTCCTTCTCCTCCGGCTGCCCCTCAGGCTCCTCCTCCCCTAGCTCCAGCGGCAGCCAGTCTTCCCCATCCAGGCCCTCCAGGGTGGCCAGCAGCTCTTGGACCTCCTCTGGGGGGCAGGGAGAGGCACCCGGTCAAGGGTCGAACCCAGCCAGGACGGGGCAGTCAGGGGCCGGGAGGAAGACGGAGACAGGGGTTTGAGGGTATCTGCTCAGCAGATGGGCACAGTGCAGAGTAGCGTGGAAGTTGAAGTCAAGAAAGGGTTGCAGGATGTCCCGGGGCCCCAGGGAGCCCTACCCAGGCCTGCGTTCTCCTGGTCACCGTCTGGATCATCTGGAGGCCACGGGGTGGAGGAGAGGCCAGGGAGGGCCTGCAGGGCCTCAGTGGGGCCCACCTGTTGGAAGAGAGTATCAGGGCCCCTGGAACACCTGCCCCCCAAGGCGTCTGAGCAAGGGTGGAGGCAGCGCCGAGCAGGGGTAACAAGGGGAGGGCGGGGCAGGCTCTGTGTCCACCTCTTCCAGGTCTGTGTCCAGGACGGCCCCAGCCAGATGCTCTGTCCCAAAGACGCACTGGAACTGTGCCTCCAGCTCCCGGAGAAGGTGCTGCCCCTCTGGGCTCAGCAGGAACCTGGCACTGCCTGGGTGCTTCAGGCTCAGCATGTGACAGCTAACACTGCCCAACAGACTTTGCAGAAACTCCTCGGCTGCCCGGCATGGGGCCAGGGCTCCACAGAGCTGCAGGACCGTGGGGCGGGGGGGCAGTTGGCAAGTTTAGCGCACAGGAAAGACACCCGGAGCCCCCAGTGGCAGAGGAGGATCAAAGGTGAGGACTCCTCAGAGGCTGCTCACCCGGAATCCAGTCGTATCTGATCCTTCGAGCGGGAAGAGGGCCACATCTCCCAGGCCGGCGAGAAGGTCCTCATGATAGAGCTGAATGAAGCGCATTGCTCCCGGCTCCATCGCCAGCACCGTCTCCACCAGGCCCTCCTGCCCCGGTGACCCCGCAGGCCCCAGGCTCACTGACGCCACCTGCTCTGAAGACCTCACAGCGATCTCCACTGGGTCCAGAGACCCCACAGTCCTCGGGCTCCCCGGCCCCTCCTCTTCTGAAGACCCCCCGGGCCCTGACCTGACTGGCCCAGCACGTGCCAGGAATGAGCTGTCCCAGCGAGGGCCTGTGCTCAGAGAGGCTCCTGACTGCCCTGGCGCCTCCTCAGAGCCCAGTGTGACATCCCCAGCATGATTCTGTACCCTTGCTGGTCCTCCTGCCTCCTGGAGAACATGCTCGGGGGCCCCAGGCCCCAGCTCTCCTGGGCGGCTCCCTCCACCGGCATCCTCGGTGAGCTCCTCAGGCTCCAGGACATCATAGTGGGGGACAAGGCTCAGCTCTGAGCCCTGCAGCTGGTGGTCCCGCTGCAGCACCCTCTCGGCCACTTGGAAGAAGGGAAAGAACAGAAGGTCATCAGGGCTCCACGCCATGGTGGGGGACTGCCCTGTCCTGCCCCACTCACCCTGCCAGTGCTGAAAGGAGACCACGGTGCCCAGGTGCCCCGGGAGGCTGCGCATGCCCTCCAGGGGCCCCCCGCCACTGCGGCGCTCATTCTCCAGGTACAGCTCCAGAAGCAGCAGGTCTGCAGGGGGGCCACCTCCTACCACACGCACTGCCCGGGCCTGGGGCACCCAGGCCAGGGAGACCTCAGCCCCCTCCAGGCCCAGGGCCCGGGCGTGCTCCTCCAGGACGCCAGCTTCTGTGGGGAGGATGCAAGTCAGAGCAGAGTGCCTCCCCTAACAGGCAGGCCGCCCCAATCCCGCCTCTTACCTGCCTCAGAAAGGGGCTTGGGCAGTTGTACCAGAGCGCGATCTGGTCGGGGACTGGCCAGGGCCTGGCAAGGCTGCTCCGGGTGCCCGATGGCACAAAGCAGAGCTTGAACGTACTGCTCCAGGAGCTGGGGTGCGGTGCCAGGAGGCAGTCCTTGGAGCAGCAGGCGCGCAGGGGCGCGTGGTGGGGCTGGCCGCAGGCTCAGCCGAGCCCCCTGGAGAATGTGCTCCGGCTGGGCCAGGACCCTCGCGGCATCTGTGGGCAAGGGGAGTGTGCAGTCCGGGCCGGTGGCCAGCGGGGCCCAGGCTGCCCCTTTCCTATGGTCCCTCACCTGCAGGTTCCTCAAAGGTGAGGATGCCCCCGCGGCCGAGTCTCTGCCAACTCGCCACAGGCCCACCCCCCGAGCTTCGGCGGTTCTCGAAGTAGAGCGTGAGCAGCTCGTCCTGGACGCTGGGGGGCAGGCCACTGAGCTCCACGGCCGTTCCCACCTGTGCCTCTGCCTCCCCCATCGCTGCCCTGGGGCCGGAAGAGGGGGCAGGCAGCAGCCCCACCGTTCCGCCTCTCGCAGCCCGGGTCCCTTGGCAGCGTTCCCTGACGCCCCCTTCACCGTGCAGGCAACCTACATCCCCCCACTTATGCCCCCCAACCCCAGCCTGGGCCGCCCCAGTCTGGGCCTTCAGCCGGGACTCCCTCCCCGCACCCTGGGACAGGAAGCAAAAGTGAAACTGTTGCAGGAAGGGAGGAGCCCGCAGTGCTGGGCGAGTGTGGCCTTTCAGGTGCTTCCCCCCTCAGGCTCCTCCTGCAGGATATTCCAGCCCTGCCCCCACTGGTGATCTGTTTCACCCTAGATAATATACATGTTTTGATGCTGTTCTCTCTAAACATCCCACCCTTGCCTTCTCCCACAGAGTCCAAAATTCTGTTCTGTACATTTGTGTCTCTTTTTCTGTTTTGCATATAGGGTTATTGTCACCATCCTTCTAAATTCCATATATATGTGTTAGTATACGATATTGGTCTTTATCTTTCTGGCTTACTTCATTCTGTATAATGGGCTCCAGTTTCATCCATCTCATTAGAACTGATTCAAATGAATGAGGCTGGCTTTCAACTCTTCCCAGCAACCTTGGCACCTGCACCTGCACTCACCCTTCAACAACTCAAAGGTGGCTGGCCTCCCATCTTGCAAGGGCGAGCAGCTCAGCTCCTGACCCTGGAGGGGCACGTCCCCATCACTGCCGATCCACAGCACTGTCACGCCTCTCGCCTGGCTGCACCTTTAGAACCCACATTCCCTCTTGCCACCCAGTCGCCCCTTCCCTGGTGCCCATACTCCATTGGCTTCCAGCCTTTGGAAGAGTTGTGCCCACAGTGCTCTCCACCCCCACCCCCCCACTTAGCCCTCAGCAACAAAAACTCCCCTCAACCCCTGCTACTTCTGCAAGGGATTGAGGGCCTGTCCAGCCTGTACCCTGAGCTGTCCCCACCCTGGTCTGAGCCTCTATCATCTCTCATTTAGACATGTCTCTGACTTCTGAACTGATCTCTCTCTGCCACTCCTGCCCTCTTGCACCGTCCATCCTCAACAGAGGGCAGGGTGTGCCTTATAAGTTGCACCAACAGCTGCTAAAGATTGGACCATGGTAAAGCCAAAGTCCTTTGGAAGACCTGCCAGGCCGGACTGACCAGGCCCCAGTCCCTGCTGGCCGAAAGCCCCCTGCATCCCCCATGCTCTGCCATCCAGTGCAGCAGACCCTCCCTCCCTGATGCCTTTGTACTGGCCCTTCCCTCTTCTAGACCAGCCTTTCCCACGGCCACCTGGCCACCCCTCCCCCTAACTCACCTTACTAGGCTCTTGGTGGCAGGTTTAACTTGAAATTAAAAGTCTTCAAGGACCCTCCTAAAGCCCTGACCTCGACTTCACATTTGTTGTTTTTAGGTTTTCTTTAAAAAAGGGCCCTCAAATTGTATGAGCTTCTAGTTGTACAAGTTGTGTTGGAGAAGACTCTTGAGAGTCCCTTGGACTGCAAGGAGATCCAGCCAATCCATCCTAAAACAGATCAGTCCTGAGTATTCATTGGAAGGATGGATGTTGAAGCTGAAACTCCAATAATTTGGCCACCTGATGTGAAGAGCTGACTCATTTGAAAAGACCCTGATGCTGGGAAAGATTCAGGGCAGGAGGAGAAGGGGACGACAGAGGATGAGATGGTTGGATGGCATCATCGACTCAATGGACATGAGTTTGGGTAGACTCCGGGAGTTGGTGATGGACAGGGAGGCCTGGCGTGCTGCGGTTCATGGGATTGCAAAGAGTCGGACACGACTGAGTGACTGAACTGAAATGGAACTCGTTGCATTCTAACACAATGTATAATACCATGTCTATACAATGTATAACACAATGTCAAGACCACTGAAGCCGGGGGAAGTTAACTTGACCTCTGGTCCTGGGGCATCTCGAAGCCTCAGTCCCTCAGCAGAGAAACAGGGCTAACAACGCCACCCTTACTGCTTGTGAGTTTGTGAAGTGAGAATAAATGGTCTAGTAGGGACCTAGACTAGCTTAATAGAGAGGATTGAGCAATTATACAATTAGGTCTCTTGATCTGGGATAGATTTGAATGAAAAGGAAAGTGGAATTTCAAGGTCAAGGAGGGACGGAGAGTGCTAGTCAAGACAGCAAATCCCAAATTTAGGAATAAATTTCTCAACTCTCTGACCCAAGCAGGAGTCAGCCTGCAGGTCTACAGCTCTGAGCCCAAGCCCAACTCTCGGTGGACGGAGCGCGAGAAAGACGCCACCAGGGCGGCGGAATGGGACAGGGTCCAACCGGAGAGGCGCGGCGCTCCCGCAGAGCCCCGCCCACGGCCCCGCCCCGCGCCCAGGCCCCGCCCCAGGCCCCGCCCCGTCACACGGCCCCGCTGCGTCTCCCGAGCCGCAGGCGCAGGCCCAGCCGAGCCGGCAGCGTAGCGGGTGTGGGTGCGGGTGCGAGTGCGGACGAAGCGGTGGCCGACCCCGCGGCCGCGCAGCGGACAGTGGGCGCAGCGTCCTGAGGCGCCCCGCGACTGGTGAGTCCCCGGCCGTAGCACAGCCGCGTGTCTACCGGTTCAGCCGGCCGGCCACTGCCACCCCCGCGCGAGCCCTGCGCAGCCGAAGGGCGTCGCGGTGGGTCAATCTGTCGGTCCGGCCGCCGCGCGGCCCGCAGGGCCCGGGGAGTGGGGTGCGGCGGCGGCGGCGGCGGGGGCGGGGACCCGGAGGACCCCGCGCGGGCAGGCGAGCGGGGGCGGCGCGCTGCGGGGACAGTAGGACCGCCGCTCGAGCGCCCCCCAAACGGGCAAGGAGGCCCACCCCGCCCTCGGTGCGGGGTCCGTGGCCGCCGCTGCCGCCGCCCGGCTCGCCCCCACGTCCGCTTTGTTCCCCTGCACGCCCTCTGGTCTCTTCCATCCCCCACACACCCCCGCAACCCGCTGTTCTTGGCGTACCCCGCCGGCAGGCAGCCAGGCAGCCGATCCAGGCCTGCTGCCCCCACCCGGGAGCGAGGGACGGTCGGGCCCTGCTCTGGGAGAGGGGCTCAGGGCTCTGGTTGGTCACAGATGGCCTGGGGATTTCCTGGGATAGAAATAGCCGCCTGCCCTGGCCCCTTAAAGCTGCTTAAGGGGCGGGATGTGAAGGGGAGGGTCCGGGCACACCCCAACACCTCCCCGACCGCGCCCCCGGCCGACACCCAGGATGAGCTCTGCCCCGGAGACGCCAGCAGCGGTGACAGGGCCCCTCGAGGTGCTTGTGAGAAACCGCGGAAGCCCCAGAATCCCGAGGCTGACAAAGTCATCCCTTCCTCCCTCCCCTCCTTCCCCTCTGGGGTCGGTCTGTGGCAGCCCCTGCTGAAGCCGCCTGCGCAGCCACCCGGCCCCCACCCGCCTCTCCTGGCCCCCAGCTTGGGACTCCCCACTGCCCTAGGGCAGAGGTCATAATCCCCCTCCTTCCGTCCTGGATCCAGGCAGCAGGTGCCCTCCCCCCCCCCCCCCCCCCCCCCCCCCCCCCCCCCCCCCCCCCCTTGCTGGCTTCTATCGCGGCAGACTAACTGTTCTTTCTCTGTCCTCTAGGGGGAGACCACAGAAACTGAGGCCATGTCCCATGAAAAGAGTTTCTTGGTGTCTGGGGACAGCTATCCTCCCCCCAACCCTGGGTATCCCGGAGGGCCCCAGCCCTCCATGGCACCCTACCCAGGGGCCCCTTACCCACAGGCCCCGTTCCAGCCATCCCCCTATGGCCAGCCAGGGTATCCCCAGGGCCCCAGCCCTTACCCCCAAGGTGGTTACCCCCAGGGCCCCTACCCCCCTGGGGGCTACCCCCAGGGCCCCTACCCCCCAGGGGGGTACCCCCAGGGCCCCTACCCGCCAGGGGGCTACCCTCAGGGGCCATATCCGCAGAGCCCCTTTCCCCCCAACCCCTACGGACAGCCACAGGCCTTCCCAGCACAGGACCCTGGCTGTGAGTATCGGGGCGGGGCAGGGAGCGGGCAGGGGCTCCCACATGAGTAAGGGGTTCTGACTGCCCCTCCTGCTCCTCAGCACCTCATCATGGGAACTATCACGAGGAGGGGCCACCATCCTACTATGACAACCAGGACTTCCCTGCCACCAACTGGGACGACAAGAGCATCCGCCAGGCCTTCATCCGCAAGGTGGGCCTTGGGGGCTGGGGATGTGGGCAGCTGTGCTGGCGGGGCTCTGAGCCGCCTCCCTCCCCAGGTGTTCCTGGTGCTGACCCTGCAGCTGTCCGTGACCCTGTCCACCGTGGCTGTGTTCACCTTCGTCGGGGAGGTGAAGGGCTTTGTCCGGGAAAACGTCTGGACCTACTATGTCTCCTATGCCGTCTTCTTCGTCTCCCTCATTGTCCTCAGCTGCTGTGGGGACTTCCGGCGGAAGCACCCCTGGAACCTTGTTGCGCTGGTAACTCCCAGGGCCCTGCCTCTGCACCCCACATCTCAGGCTTTGGAGCAACAGAGGGCATGGGGCGGGGTGGGAGGGGCCATGGCTCTGGGTGCTGAAACACCATCTCCCCACAGTCGATCCTGACTGTCAGCCTGTCCTACATGGTGGGCATGATCGCCAGCTTCTACAACACCGAGGCGGTCATCATGGCCGTAGGCATCACCACGACCGTCTGCTTCACAGTGGTCATCTTCTCCATGCAGGTGAGGGGCCCCCGGGGGCAGGGCTGCCGACCCCCGGGGCCCAGAGGCCCCCTGGGACGGCAGCAGCCAGTGGCTCCTATGCGCGTCTGTGCCCGCAGACCCGCTATGACTTCACGTCCTGCATGGGCGTGCTCCTGGTGAGCATGGTAGTGCTCATTCTCTTCGCCATCCTCTGCATCTTCATCCGGAACCGCATCCTGGAGATCGTGTATGCCTCGCTGGGCGCTCTGCTGTTCACCTGCGTGAGTGCCGGAGCCGTGGCCCAGGCGGGGGGGCTGGGCAGGGGTCATGTTCCTTGACACGGCCGCTCTGTCACCCACAGTTCCTGGCAGTGGACACTCAGCTGCTGCTGGGGAACAAGCAGCTGTCCCTGAGCCCGGAGGAGTATGTGTTTGCTGCGCTGAACCTCTACACGGACATCATCAACATCTTCCTATACATCCTCACCATCATTGGCCGCGCCAAGGAGTAGCCTGAGCCCGCTCGCATGGGGCCTCTCAGGTGGCATGCCCGGCCTGGCCCCTGCCCCAGCGTGGCAGCTCCTCTCAGCTCCCCTCTCTCATCCCCGTGTGCTGCCTGGGACAGGGAGCCACCCGACCCTCCCGTGTATACACCACAGACACTTCTGTCTGGACCCGCCGCGGCCAGCATGGCCCCTTCCAGCCGTCCCATCCTGCCACAGGGCAGCGGGGCTGGGTTTCCGTGCCCCCTCCCGCCCACCCAGTGTTGCATGAGCCCTGTCTGCCAGTCCACTCCAGGGTCTGGGGGCAACACCAGGCCTCAGGGGCGAGCGATGGAGCCACGAGGTGAGGGTGCACGTCTCCCCTCCTGTCCCTGCTCCCCAGCCTGGCGTACAGCCTCCCCCCCACCCCACTGGAGTGCTGCCCTCTGGGGGACCTGCGGGGTGAGGGTCTCGTCCCTATGCTAGTCCTGAGGGCAGAGAGGAGGGAACAGTCCAGGTCAGGAGGGTGCCTTCCCCTCATTCTGCTGTCTGTAAAATTCCAATAAACGGGACCCTCTGCGCTCTGTGTTCCCTTCCTCACTCCTCACTGCCACTTCCCCCCCGAGGCAGGGAGGGTTCTGGGTGTTAGCAGAGTGAGGCGGCGAGCAGGACCTGGACAGGCAGGAGCCAGACAGGCGTTGCTGGCGGGGCCTGGCCCTGGCAGAGGGTGAGGGCAGCAGCCTCTCCACGCCTCCACCTCCTTGCAGCCTTCCCAGCCATGTCCTGCGTGCTGTGCCAGGAGGCCCGGCTGATGGACGGGACCCGGGGCTCCCAGATCACATGCTGTCTGCCACTCATGCCTGGGA